CCATAGAGCGCGTAATATCCACAGGAATTACGAAAGGGTGCATATACGTCGCTGGTCTCATAGCTTCCCATCGGCATTGAATCGCTCGTGACCGTAGGTAGGCGTCATCCAGCTGCACAGGGTACTTCTCCATCATCTCCACAACGGACTTCAGATTGGCGGTGTTGCGAGCCCATACTACCAGGTTGTCAAGTGACACAGTTAGATTGCTCGGATACTTGTGTAGAGCTAAACGTTGTACACTTGATGTAATTTTCGTTTGCTGGAAACGCTTGGTGGTGGCGCGAGCTTTCCCTCGGCCTTTCGGTTTCGGGACGTTGATGATATCTACTTGGCGCTCAGACGGTGGTGGCGAATGTGTATGGTGCTACAGGAAAAGCAATTAAGACGTTAGCTACTGAAAAACCGTATCAAGCGTTGCTCTTACCTGGTTCTGTATCGTAAGTTCATATTCATTCACAGCCACCTTTTTGACTAAAGCAGTTAAGCGAGCCTTGCACTTCTTGTAGCGAGTTTGTCGGTTCCGATGACCTTTCGAACGGGACTTCTGCGAAACGCCATGTGTGCAGCGATAAATTTTCTGCGTCCACTCGAATTCCGTAGGCATTTGATCTTGATGCGTACTGTACAATTGTCAATACAGCTCAGTTCTACATCTGCTATGAACAATAAGACATCAAGCATTCCTGTTGTGAAGCGCCGTCTTTACCGAGCTGCGTACACGAAACTTGAGATTGTACTTCTTCTTGTACTTCGTAAAATGATCCTCAAAAGATGACCAGCTTTCCAAGGTAGACGCTGGCTTGAACGGCGGGACAGTATTTTCAATCTCGTCGCTGTCATTCAGCATCGTGTCCATCTCCTCGAGGTGTTTACTTTTACGTTTTCGAGGTTGGTATTGAGAATCCGTGGGCGAGTACGGAACGGTTTCCAAGTCACTACCATCAGCTTTGGTCACAGAGCCCAAATTTGAGTCGCCATCACCATCCGATCCGCTTGTCACCCACACTTTTCGTTTCTTGGTTGGAGGAGGCGAGACTTTGTGCGGAGAATACGGCTTTAGCACGGTCGTTGTGCTCTTAATTTCTGCCAAAGCACCAAATAAAAAAAACATTCCATTAACGCAACAGTGATGTAAGGCAACCTTAACTACCCTAATGCAACTGTATGGTAAAAATCAAACTCACCTGGCGGCTCTGCAGCAGTTCCTCTCCCCTTGCTCTTGTCGTCCTTCTTCTCGCCCCGCGCTAATAAACCCGATGATTTAAGCAGTTAATATTTGATGAATCCAGAAGAATTAAGACGAAACTTACTTGTGTTTGGCTTGTCGTCCGCATCAAATACTTCAGATGAGAGCGATTCCTCGACGACGAAGTCATCATCCGTGTCGTTGTCACGCTCAAAGCCGAGCGTGGCGAGCATGTAGTTCAATTCCGAGTTACCAGCGCGTAGTTGCCGATCTAGTAAACACAAGCATAACAAAGTAACAATAAATCACACGTATTTAACGGTTAGTAACTCAACAACCCCCTCCCTCTCACAGAATATATAATTCTACCCGACGTGGGGGAGTCCATCGCTGGCGGCATGTGTCTTCGTATCTGCGAGCTGCTGGCAGCTCTTCCTTCTGTCCGTTCGTCTTCCCGTTCGTCTCGCGCGGACATGCGCGCGCTAGAGATCTTGCCTCCTGCCTGCAAATTCGTAAATAAAAAATGAGAGGCTGTGGACAATCGTACTTATCACGGAATACGTACCTAAGCGAGATAAGTCTGAAAGGAAATTTAGACAAATAGATTTCACGGGAAAATTTGAAATCTTCCAAAAACAACCGTAATCGTCAAACGCAACCGTAACTTTGGGTTGTAGTAACCACTCCGGTCAAAGCTATAACCTTGGGGAAACATGTACATAACTGGCCAAATATAACCGAAGTTGTATTTGTCGCGTTCACGACAATCTAATTGGCTTCTCAGTCGATTTGTTCGCCGTACCGACCCATTTAAGGATAATACACTGCAGAATGTATCAGTATGAAATGTAAAATCAGTTGCACACAGAGTTTGCCTTTTCACCGACCTTTGCAACCTGACTACCATACAAAAAACGTGTGCACGTTCCCTCGGGTTGCATAAGATCCTCTCATAACCAAAGACACGGCTCGAAACACAAGGGTAATGCGAGGCAACAGATACAAGTCAATTCTCAATGAGTTCATGGCGTTTGGAGCTGGTCATACCTTCAGTACGGACATTAGCTTCAGTCAAGACACCCTGTTGGAGATCACACCCGACGACGTGTGTCACTGGATGAATTTTCGCGCGTTTGGAGACGCCAATCCTGCGGAGGACGCAAAACCGGTGAACGCCCGTGCGTCCACCTTGGAATACGCCAAGAAAGCGATTTCCTCTTTCATGCCACGCCGCACAGTTCCTTGGGGCCCTATTCGCAACGAAGGGAATCCAACTCGCTCAGAGACTGTAAATGCAGTAATTAAGAAGGTGAAGCGATGCGAGGTACGACGAGAAGGAGTCCAATCGGCAGCTAGGCGTCCGATCGAGTATGGTGAATTTCTTAATCTACTGGATCAAGTTCACACGGGAAACGGCAAGGGTTCACTGAAGTATTTAGTCTGTGCTGTGCTCACCATGCAATGGCACCTCATTGCACGCATTGACGACATGATGAAACTGAAGTTCGATAGCTTTTCGTGCAGCATTCACCACCCAGGTTCATTGATTTGT